TGCCTTTCCCTTGGACTCTGCCTTTTCTTTAGGGTAGTGTGTTTGGATGACGGCCTTGGGCTACCTTTGACTCCGTTTGGGTGCTTTTGCCTTCCTCAAGGGGCTTATTGTTACAAGGGGAGGGATTTTCTTACCCCCCTTCACTGTATGAGTATGATTTGGGTTCGGCTCCTCCCCGGGTTCGGTTCCGGGTGCCTTTGGGTACCTCGGATCCGTCTTTCCAGAGGTTTTCTACATCCCGTATCTCCGCGAAGGTGGCTCGGGAAGCTCTTGCTGCATACCTCTTGCGAGACCCGGGTTATGCCTCTGCAATGGATCCGTCCTTGTTTGAGTTCGGTTCGTCTTCCCATTTTTGGGGGCGTTTGGAGGTTCTGGAGTCTTCCTGGCTGGCAGACTGCCCCTTCTTTTCATTGGGGGCATGGCATGGATTCTGTCGGACCTGCACGCTTGATTGGTGGGAAACTTCTACTTTCATGCAGGTGTACCTGGGGGCGAGTTTGAGCACCTTAATACGTGTTTGTTCGCTCCCGTGCTTTCTCGGGATGTTGGCCTTTTCCAGCTTCACGTGCAGGTTCCTCAGCTTTCGGCTTCGTTGGTTGCATAGGAGTTGCGCGTCCATGGGCATTTGGCTTTGGTCTTGCGTTTCTTTCCCCTTCTCAATCTCAAGCTGTCTTCTGCTTGGCTTGAGGAGGATATGGGAGCGTTGAGTGAAGGGACCTTCGTATGGGGCGCTGACTTCGGCAGCTAGGACGTCGGCTGCACTGTTGAAGCTCTTTGCACCCATCCTGAAGGAAGCGGTGTCTGTTTTTTGCTTCTTGCCTTGCATGCCGTCAGGCTGTGCTTGCCCTCTCTTTGGAATCCGCTTGGGCCCTGGCTCTTAGGCTTTCGTCTCCATTTTTTCCGTTGCTGTTTGCAGAGACTGTGGTGTCTCAGTTTCTGCATGCAGCTTCGTCTAGTTGTCATCCTATGGCGGACATGTTGATTCTCTGAAGTGGTCGTTCTCGGCAATTTCGGAGGGGTCGTGCCAGAGTTCTGGGTTCCGCTGGTCGAGGTGGGCCATTGGTGCCAGTTCCTGAGCTGTTGTTCCCTTCGGGGCCAGTGTTGTCTGGTTGGCGCAGTGATCGCCCTGTTCGACGTTTGGGTTCTTGTAAGGGGCACTGGCCCTTTCGCGGTTTGCCCTGTTGATGGGGGCGATGGGGGGAGGCTCGCTCTATTTGCCCATGCTTGGTCCAACGATTTGTGGGCCTTTTTGGTCGTGTCATCCGGCCTGCGGTGGCGTTGGGGGACTCGTCCTCCTTTGGGGGGTTCGGGGCTAGCAGGGCAGGTTTCCTCTCCTGCGCTTTGTCAAGTCGTCTTGGAGTGGGTGCGCTTGGGCGTGGTCGAAATGACTACGTCCCTCAGGTGGGTTTCCCGTCTGTTTCCAGCGCCGAAACGGGACTCTGCGGATCTGAGGTTCATTCTGGACTTGTCCCGTCTGAACCCCTGGATTCCTTGCCCCTCCTTTCGGATGACTACTCTGTCTCAGGTCCGGCTTCTGTTGGAGCCGGGTGCCTGGATGGTGTCCCTGGACTTCAAGGACGCCTATTGGCACGTTCCTATTCATCCGGGATTCAGGGACTGGTTAGGTTTCGTAGTGGGGCGTCACGCTTACCGTTTTTGCTGCCTGCCTTTTGGCTAGAATCTGGCACCTCGCTCTTTCACGCATCTGACTCGGGTTGTGGTGACCCGTCTGCATCTTCTAGGGATTTGGGTTTTGGCGTACCTCGACGACTGGCTGGTGTGGGCTCCCAGTCGGTCAACTTGTCTGCTCGCCAGGGATATGGTTCTTTCCCAGCTCGCCAGGTTTGGGTTCCTGGTGAACTGGTGGAAGTCCCATCTGGTTCCGTCCCAGGTTCAGACCTGGCTGGGTCTTGTTTGGGATTCTCGGACCACTTTCTTGTCTCTCCCTCCAGAGGCGTTGCGGCGGCTGCGGGACCGCCGTCGGCTGTTTCTGAGGGGGTCCCGGTCACTCGGCAGTTGCTCAAGCGGTTGTGCAGGAGTCTGAACTTTGCCGTGCTAGTCTACCCGCCTGGTTGGGTTTGGCTTCGGCATCTGTTTTGGTTCCTTCGGGCACATCCCTTCTGCTTCTCTTGCGATCGTTGGGTTCGCCTTGTGTCGGTTGCTGCGTCACCGGCTTCCTCTTCTGGCTTTTTGGGGTTCGGTGCCTTGGTGCCTTCCCGAGCCCTTGCTCGATGTGTTCACGGATGCGTCGTCTCTAGGCTGGGGGCTTTGTGACCAGTGCTCACCAGGCAGGCCAGAGAAGGTGGGGTCCGTCCTTCCATCGGGCTCACAGCACGGCTCGGGAGTTTGCGACAGTCTGGTTCGGGCTTCGGAGGGTTCGGGTCGCTCAGGGATCGACCATTCACCTCCATTCGGACTATTCTCCAGTGGTTCATTGATTGAACCGTGGGGGTTCTCTTCGGTCCTTGGCTCTTTGGGGTTGGTCCCTTCGAGTGGTTCGTCTGCTGGATTCTTGGGGTTTGGCTCTCCGTGCGGCTCATGTCTGGGGAGTGTCCAACATTCTGGTGGATTGTCTGTCTCGCTTCCATCCCCTGTCCACGGAGTGGACAGTCGACGACGATTCGTTTCGTTAGATCTGCCAGACGTACGGTCTCCCAGATGTGGACCTCTTCGCGTCGGCGTGGTCTCGGCGTCTCCCAATCTATGTGGCGACCTTCCCCAACTGCGAGGTGTTCGCGGTGGATGCCTTTCGGCAGGAGTGGTCGAGGTGGGGTTACCTGTACCTCTTCCCCCCGGTCCAGCTGTTGCTTCGGGTTCTGGTTCAGTTGGAGACAATCCCAGGGAGAGTAGTCCTTGTGGCCCGTTGTGGCCGGCCCAGCCTTGGTTTCCGGTGCTATTGGCTTGGTGCCTGAACCTGGGACGTTTCCCGCGGCTCTGCCTCTTTCAGCAGGTCAGCCTGGTCCGGTACGGGGCTGGTTCGACCTTCTCCTCTGCTCTTCGCATCTGGTCTTTTTTGACACAGGTTTATCACCAATTCTATGGTGATCAGGTGGCTTCGTTGATGGTGTCCCACCTGAGAGCTTCGTCTTGGCAACAGTATGAAGTTTTCTGGCGTTCTTTTTGTATTTTTCTGGCTCTTCATAGGTTGTCTTTTCTTTCGGATCAGGTTGTCTTGTCCTTTCTTTCTTGGCTTTTTCAGGACCGTCATTTGATGCCTAATAGCTAGCGTTCGGGGTGGACGTCACATCCGCCCCGTTTTGTAAGCTTTCCCATGCTATGTTTCACCTCCGGCCTGCTCATGCGCTTCCTGAGCCGTCCTGGTCCTTGGACAGGGTGCTCTCCTATCTTTCCTCTCCTCAGTTTGTGGTGGCCCCTTCGGTTCTGGATAGTTTTTCCAAGGCTTTGTTTTTGTTGGCATTGACCTCTGGGGGCCGGGTAGGGGAGCTTCATGCTCTCCTCCGGCGCAGGGGTTTCTGCTCTTTTGGTCCTGGTGGTAGGTTTGTCCGTTTGCAGCCTTCTCCATCTTTTCTGGCGAAGAACGAGACGGCTGCTTTCCGAAGGGGTCCGTGAGTCATTGATGCTTGGTTGGTTCGGCCGGGGGTGCATCATGTGTTGTGTCCGGTTGCAGCACTTCACTATTACCTGCGTGCTTCAGCTGGGGTGGCTGGGAATGCGCTTTGGGTTGATCCGGTTTCCCTCGTTCCCTGTTCCAGGGCTTGGGTCTCCCAGGTTGTCCGCAGGGTTATTAAGTCTAGCCAGCCTGTGGTCTATCCTCGTGCCCATGACATTCGGAAGTTTGCAGCTTTGGCTGCAATGTTTGGTAACATGTCTTGCGCTCATATTCGGGTGCGTGGATTTTGGAAGTCAAACAGGGTCCTGGCCACCCGTTATTTGGTGAACGTCCCTGCTCCTCGGCGTCCTTGTGTTGCTTTGGGTCGCAGGTTGCAGCCAGTTGTCTCGACTTCGTGTTGAGGAGTTTGTGGCCGCCGCCTCCTGGGGTAAGTCCCTATTTTCCTTCTCTTTGGGTATGTAGCTCCAGGGAGCCATAAGGGCTCCCCACAGAAAACCAGCGTTGAATGTAATAAAACGCCATTTTCTGGGTGAGCCTTTGAGGCTCCCTGGCTACCCTCCCTCCCATCCAGTCGGCGTTTTTTTTTCGCGTTGGTTGAAGCCTAGTTTCCGAACCGAAGGCAGCCAACGCGGTGAGGTCCGGGGCCCCCTTTTCCCTCCTGGGGAATGGGAGGGCTGCGCGGACGACCGGCGCTGCAGTAAATTGATTGATTGATTGTTGACTTGGGATTGTAGGGAGTTCCTACCTCTCTGTTCAGTTTTTTGTTTTAGTTTCTTACCATGTGGGGTTTGTTTTGTTATGCCTACCTTTCTGGGTACCTAACCCCGGTCGATGGCAGATAAGGAAAACCCCCAACCCCCATGGTTTTCCAGGGCCATTGCTCCCTGAAACCTCTCTGAAGGGGCCAGGTTTTGGCGCTGGTCCCTGGTAAGTCTGAACTCCATTGCTAATGTCTCGGTCTAACATGACATACATTAGCCCAATAAACTCCAGGGAGCCTCCAGGGCTCACCCAGAAAATGGCGTTTCATTACATTCATTGAAGTTTTTTTTAAATCGTCTAAAATCCATTTATGAAACTATTGGAATTAAACTTTCATGACACTGAAGCAAATAAGTTGGAGATTCGTTTATTATTTATAAGTAATTTTCACATAATTCAGATATTTTCATAGTTCCTGCCCCCTTAATGTAATGTTTAAGATATTCATAATATTGTATACATTGTGGGGTAGCTGGTATTGGGACTGGGTAACGCTCTCTTGACTGGCTGCTCACAGAGCATGTCTTGTGTATATTATTGCAGCTCTACTGTTATCTTATTGCCTATATGCTTTAACCTGTATATTTTGTGTTGGTTTTCATACACTTTAATTTAAATATTATATGCACTTTTTATGTACAGTAGAGTATTTAATTTTCATTGTCAGAATGAAGCAATGACGGGCACACACACGCAGAATCCTGCATACTCTCGTATTACTCTGGCTCTGATGGAGGACACTGGATGGTACCGAGCCAACTACCACCTTGCTCAGCCTCTTAAGTGGGGGCACCACTTAGGCTGTACTTTTGCCATGAAGAGTTGTAAAGAATATATGGAGGAACAGACTAAAAAGTAAGATACAAATTAATTTAATGAATTTATGCTCAATTTAATTTCATCGAAGCTTGTGTCACAAAAATATAAATGGTTGGTTTGCTTGTCTGGTACATTTTATATCTACTTTATCACTATGCAATGTAATGTAAACATCATTGCCATCAATATTAACCCATTTCCCACTTGTGTGGGGTGGGGAAACAACAGCTAGGAGGAACAGGAGCAGTATTGGAAAAGAAGGCTAAAGATACAAAAAAAATGCTAGCTGTCTGTTGAGCATGTCTTGAACACCACATTGCATCACGGAGAACCAGCACCACAACACTCGAGCAAATCACTCTGCTGAAGTTCACCACTTCACAAGACTAGGAGTATTGTGGCCTTATTGAGTTGTCATGTACAGTATTAACAAAACATTTACTCCTTTAACTACTGCCTTCCAGTCTTGTTTCCCTCCAATTGCAGTGTGCTATTCACACTTGATCGCAGCATCCTCACTCACTCACACTACTTGCCCACCTACTTGCCCACCTACTTGCCCATTCTCTCCTGCTCTCAAGATTTCCTCAAACTCTCCTAATCAATGTATTGTTATTCATTCTCATATTGAATTTTTTTTTTAATACTTCCTTACACCTAATGCCTCTGGTTAGTTTGCAGTAAAAAAGTACCTGGGAGTTTGGCTACTGTTGTTGGTTACGTCCTGGGAAAAGGTCACTTGTTGACCCAGGTGACCTCAGTAAGCCTAACTGGCTTCCTTTCTCTGGCACTGGAAACCATTACATTACCAAACCATCTTGGTTCTCTCTTGAATCTGGCTATTTACTGACTTTAGTACTCAACACGTTTCCATGACATGTGCATTACTTATTTAATCTATTCTCGATTTATACACTAATATTTCTTTATATATATATATCACAATTTCTGGGAGGGCAGAAGTAGGTATCATAATAGCTCGGTGAGCTGAATGCCAATTTTACGTGATTTACCTAAGGGCCACCAACAATAGGGTTGTTGGTGGTTGATGCTGTCCTTCCTTAATGAGGACAGGAAGCTGGCGGCTTGTTGAAGGTCCTCCCATTTGCCTTGATGATCTTTTCCAGGTAGATTTTAAAGGCTAAAACAGGTTTTGGCATTTGTGGCTTTGGCAGGTAGGCAGTTCCATGGGTTTATAAGCCTGTGGGTGAAAAAGCATCTCGTGTTCTCAGTCCTACATTGGGTTTTGTTGAGCTTGAAACTGTTGCTCCTTGTTTGTGTTACATCTGACCTTTTGAAAAAATAATTGCAAATCAACATCCTCCAAATTGTTCAATATTTTAAAAGTTTCAACGAGATCCTCCCTGTCATGCCCAGTTTGCAGTGGTGTTAGCTCTGTGGCCCTCATCTGTTCTTTATATGAGAGATTGTATCAGGATTGAATGCTGGTAGAGCCATGCCTTGGGAAGATGCACCTGGATTCAGACCCACCATTGTCTGGTTCTTTAGAAGGCAAGGGAAGGTTGGGAATCAATGCCTGGGCAAAAACTGAGGAAACCTCATGGGAAAGTGCAACAAAATAAGCATCTGCTTGAAGAAAATTAAGTGCCCAAAGGTAAGAGAGTAAACTATCATTACACAGGACAAAAACCCTAATATTGATTCACCCAGCTGTCAGCAAGAGGCAGCTCAGGTCACCTGGGGCTCCAGCCCCAGGTTTTCCTTATCTGTTCCCTTACCTACTCACAGCATAGGAAGCACAGCACCTCTCACAGGGTGAGAGGTGCTGAGGGTGAGGGTGTGAGGTTCCCTGTTTCATGCTTTCAGGAAAATTGTGTTGGCTCTTCCTGGAACTTTAGTTCTGCTGGTGGTTCCTAGTGTTGTGCTACAACTTTGTCCTTGCCCTAGACTGTTGCCTGGCGGTTGAAGAGTCATGTGCCTGGCATTCAAGGGTTTTGTTCCTGGACACTTTCCTTTGCGTGTATGCCTAGTGGTTCTCCTTGGCTCACTGCCAAAGGGTTTTCTCTGGCTGATATTTTAGGGGTTCTTGGGTTGTGTGCCTTGGCTAGGTGCAGTGCAGCCACAGACTTGTGTGCTCAGCAATTTTCAAGCTGGGTTTCCAGAACTTCTCAATCAATTACCGGGCACTATGCCCTGGTGTGGGGGTTTTGTCCTAGAGTCAGTCTCTTGGCCTCATGGCTTACCTTACTAGGTGCCCAAGTTGCTCTGGGCTTGGGCTTATTTGATTAGTTTAGGCTTCCCAAACATTGGTAGCCATCTCGCTTGCCTGGTAGTAGCAATGGTGTCTTTTCTGTGGGGAGCCCCTACGGCTCCCTGGAGTTTATCAGGCTGATGTATGTTATATTAGTCTGGGACATTAGCTAAGGAGTTCAGACCTACCAGGGACAACCTGGTAGGTCTGAACTCCTGACCAGTGCCAGAACTTGGCCCCTTCAGAGAGGTTTCAGGGAGCAATGGCACTAGAAAACCCCCTTGTGGTTGGGGTTTTCCTTATCTGCCATCGACCAGGGTTAGGCACCCAGAAAGGTAGGCATAACAAAACAAACCCCACATGGTAAGAAACTAAAACAGAAAACTGAACAGAGAGGTAGAAACTCCCTACAATCCCAAAGAAACAAGCAAACAAGCATACATCACACTTTACTGCCGCGCGGATCATCCGCGCAGCCCTCCCCGCCCTGAGAGGGGGAGGGGGAGGGGCCCGGACATCACAACACACGACAGTGAATGCCACGAAAGGCAAACACCGCCTAGGAAACTGAGGCCAAAGAAGCGTCTGTCTCGGTTGACATTAGCTTACGAACTGATGCTAGGCAGCAGGCGTCCACGGTGAATGCCTTTCGGCAGGACTGGTCGAGGTGGGGGTACCTGTTCCTCTTCTTCCGGTCTAGCTGTTACTTCGGATTCTGGCTTGGTTGGAGTTCATTCCCAAGGAGAGTTGTCCTTGTGGTCCCTTGGTGGCCGTCCCAGCTTTATTTTCAGACGCTGCTTAATAGGTGTCTGAACTCGCCGTTTTCCTGTGGCTCTGCCTTTTTCGGCAGGTCGGACCGGTCCTGTACGTGACTGGTTCGGCCTTCTCCTCGGCTTTTCGCATCCGGTATTTTGACGTGGGTGTATCACCATCTCTATGGTGATCAGGTCCTGCAGTTAGTCCCGCACCAGTCCTGCCGGTGTCCCTGCGGGACACCGGCTTCGTTGATGGTGTTCCACCTGTGAGCTTCGTCTCGGCGACAGTATGACATTGCTGGTGTTTCTACTCTATTTTCTTGCTCTTTGTAGGTTGTCTTCTCTTTCGCATCGGTTTGTCTTGTCCTTTCTTGGGTTCTCAGGACTGTTATTTGATGCTTCTTACAGTCGCTTCATATTGTGCGGGGCTGGCGAAGCATCTCCGGCTTGCGTTCGCAGTGGACGTCACATCTGCCCCATTCCGTACGCTTTCTCGTGTTTTGTTTCACCTCCGGCCTTCTCATGCGTCGCCTGAGCTGTCTTGGTCCTTGATTAGGGTGCCCTCTTATCATAATCTCCTCAGTTTGTGGTAGCCCCTTTGGTTCAAGATTGTTTTTCATAAGCCATATTTTGTTGGCATGGGCCTCTGTGGGCCGGGTCAGGGAGCTTCTGGCTCTCTTTCAGTGCAGGGGGGTTTCTGCTCTTTGGTACTGGTGGTAGGTTTGTACGTTTGCATCCTTTCTCTGTCCTTCTGGCAACAGTCGAGATGGCTGCTTTCCGGAGGGGTCCCTGGGTTAATGATGTTTGGTTGGTTCGGCCGGGGGTGCATCGTGTGTTGTCCGGTTGTGGCTCTTTGCCGTTGCCTGTGTACCATGACTGGAGATGCCCTTTGGGTTGATCTGGTTACCCCCTCGTTCCCTGTTTCAGGGCCCGGGTCTTCTAAGTCGTTCGCAGAGTTTTTAAATCTACCAGCCTGCGGTCTATCCTTGCATCTGTGCTGTTCGGACATTTGCAGCTTTCGCTACCGTGTTGGTGACGTCTAGGGCTTAGAGTGATGACCCCCTCACCCGGGAGGCGGTCGTCACTCGCTCCTTAACTCAAAGTCGAGACAACAGGCTGCAACCTGTGACCCAAGGCTATACACGCCCGAGTAGAACTAAGAACATTAACAAGATAACGTGTTACAGTCAACGCTGTTTTTTCTGTGGGGAGCCCCTACGGCTCCCTGGAGCTTATCGGGCTAATGTGTGTTATGTTAGACCGGGACATTAGCTAAGGAGTTCAGACCTACCAGGGACCAGCGCCAGAACCTGGCCCCTTCAGAGAGGTTTCAGGGAGCAATGGCCCTGGAAAACCCCATATGGTTGGGGGTTTTCCTTATCTGCCATCGACCGGGGTTAGGCACCCAGAAAGGTAGGCGTAACAAAACAAACCCCACATGGTAAGAAACTACAACAAAAACCGAACAGAGAGGTAGAAAACTCCCTACAATCCCAAGGAAACAAGCAAACAAGCAAACATCACACTTTACTGCCGCGCCGATCGTCCGCGCAGCCCTCCCCACCCCGGGAGGGGGAGGGGGGAGCCCCGGACCTACCGCGCCGGCTGCCAAGCTCCAGTTCGTTCGCTAATGTCAACCGGGATTGACGCTTCTCTGGCCTCAGTTTCCTAGGCGGTGTTTGCCTTGTGTGGCGTTCACTGCCGTGTGTTGTGGTGTGCGGTGGCCAGGAGTACTTCATCAGTGCCGGGGCTGCATGTGCTTAGTGGCTGACTTCCCTAAGCGCCCTGTGAGTACTGCCCTTGCGTTACAGGGTTATCTTCCCTGGGGCGTTCGGGAACCATTCCCGTAGAGGTTCTTGCTGCTCGGCATTTGCCTCGCCCTTGGGGCCAGCTGGGGCTTGGGGCCCTTGTTTGGCCCTGGGTAGGGATTGGTATTGTGCTGGTTAGGGCGTCAAGGTGTTGCGCAGCCTGCCACCTAAGCGGCGGCCGGTTTCTGTTGCCTCTGGAGACGGTGTACTTTTGCGGGGTTTTTCTTTTGTTTTTCATATTCTTGCCTGGTGGGGGTCTGC